TGGTCTGAAATATTTGTCTATTGGAGATTAGTCTGTTGGCATTTAAATGCTATGTAACTTTTTAGTTAAAGAAAATTCCCACACTCTTGAAGGAGCTCATTTAGAATTTCTTCTCTTTTCAGCCACGCCAATGTGAGTTGAGATGAAACGTCGAGTGGAGGAGGCTGCAAAGCAAGAGGGTAGCAGCAGTAGTAGTGTTAGTACTGGGCTGAGTGGAAGGACAAGCGGCCCACCTGGCGGGCCGGCCATTGTTTACAGTGGACCGGTTCGCCAACATCATAATCGTGGCATAACTCCGCCAGGTACAGACCTTCTCCCCCAAATCATTGAAATTGAGTGTGTTTTATATTCCCGAAATTCGAAACCAACTTTTTTCTGCTTTAGGCCTCAACACGGTTTCCTCACCGAGTTATCTCCCTGCATCAAGTATTAATAAAAATTTGTCCACGTTATCCTCGGATCGTACAGTGGGCTCTTCAGCACCAAGTGAGGTGCCCATGCCAGCGTTTTCTATAGCCCCCAGCTACTCTTCAACAATGCCAGGCGCTACAGCAATTAAAGTAAGTCAGATGACGTATATGGTAATTGATTCATGTGCTTATTCCTCTAATTCTTTGGTTAATATTTTTAGACTGCAGTCAGTGGGCTGCAAGGTGGCACACCTGCTGGCCCTGGTTTGCAGACAACTCTTCATACCCTGCAAGCACCCCCGCAGGTTTTGACACAACAGCAACATGTCATCCAAACACACCAGCCTATTAGGCACAAGGTAGCTTGATTTGTCATGGTTGTGTTTTCAGAAGAAATTTTTGTGAAAGGATTGCTTGTTATATTCTTTCTTATGCTTTAGGTGCATACTGGAGCGACCACTCCCCCTGCAGTTGCTGCACCCCCTCAGCAACCATCCCAGCAATCTCAGCAACAGTTCCAAAAGCTGAAAGTGGAGGATGCACTGTCCTACTTGGACCAGGTCAAGTTTAAATTTGGAAACCAACCACAGGTGTACAATGATTTTTTGGATATCATGAAGGAGTTTAAATCACAAAGCATTGATACGCCTGGAGTTATAGCAAGGGTGTCAGATCTTTTCAAGGGCCACCCTGAACTTATTGTTGGTTTCAACACATTTTTGCCCCCGGGGTACAAAATTGAAGTTCAGCAAAATGACCAGGTAAAATATGATCAAAGAGAACTAATCCACTTCTTCACTTATTTGATTTAGAGAATAACTAGCTTTGTTTGCCCTTTCCCAGGGATTTGCTTTCCAAGTGTCCGTCAGCATTCCCAGTCCCACTGCCTCCACCACAACAGTGGTTCATACTCCTGGTGGTCCTATCACCACAAGCACACATGGTCACACCACCCTCATCACTCCAATTGGGCCTCCAGGCTCAGGTGCAAGTAGCAACAACATTGTGGTTACCCCCTTGTTACCACCATCCACCTCTGTTGTCACTCAAGGTGTGCCTTCTGTTGGTGTTCCAACAAGCACTCCTCCTCTTCAGTCTGGTCAGCCTGTTTCTATTGGCAAACCAGTCACCATTATCAGGTGAGCTCCAGTTTCTGTCTGCTTCCTAGAACTTGGTTAGTTCAATCTGTATTTCTGGGTAACCGTGGTTTTATTGCAGCTCAAGTGGACCACTGGTCAGTCATCATCCAACTCCCATGGTTGCTACCAGTAACCACAACAACCCAAGTGTGACATCAGGGCCGACAGCAGTGCCTGTCCTCCTTAGCAATTCTTCAGCTGCTAACCCTGTGTCAGTGTCTGCTGGTACTACACCCCACCATGCATCCGCACCAGTCCATCATGCTTATCCCCAACCATCAGTGGTACCAACTGCACCACCTCCAGGCAGCACTGTGCCACATGGTGTGAACAGTGTGTCTTCCACTAGCGGAGCTCAAGTAAGACCAATACTTCTTGTATCATATCTATTCTTACCTTTGTAAAAATTTCAGATTTCTTATTCCTCTTTTAAAAAAAATAATTTTACAGACTTCAATACCAAGTCACCACAATACTCATCCAACTCATGCACCACACCACCTTACAACAGCAGGGACAAATCTGCATCATGCAGGCATGGCTCAGGCTGTTTCACAGGCCCATCAGGCTGTGTCGCAGGGTCTGCCTCATGGTGAAACGATTCCCCATTCGACCCAGAGTCAACCAGTGGAGTTCAATCATGCCATAAACTATGTGAACAAAATTAAGGTATGTCTGAATCTTTAAATCATGTAGGGATTGACTGACTTTCAATTTTTGGGTGACTTGAAACAGTATTCATTGTTTACTTTTCAACTTATTTACAGAACCGCTTCCAAGGTCAACCTGACAAGTACAAACGCTTTTTGGAAATTTTGCACACATATCAGAAAGAGCAAAGGAATTTGAAAGAAGGTTCTACTATGAGTGGTAACAGTGGTGGTGCTAAACATCTCACTGAAGCAGAGGTGTATTCTCAAGTGGCTAAACTTTTTGAAAATCAGGAGGATTTGCTAGCAGAGTTTGGGCAGTTCTTGCCTGATGCTACAAGCCATCAAAGTGTAATTGGAACCAAGGTTCTCACTAACGATCATCATGCTGTTAAGAAACCAACTAATTTGAAGCTGACCTATAACAGCAACTCCTGTTCAACAAGTAGGGAGCGTGATGGTACAACTCCTACTTCAGGTCTTGTCATGATGGGCACTCACGCGGATCGCGTCCACAGTAATATAAATTCGGCTTCAAAGTTTGGAAACAGTGGTGGTGTGAAGAGGTCACCTTCTTTCTCATCTCCGACCCCCAATTCGTCTCACCATGGTCATCATCAGCATATTCACAGTGGAAGTCACGGTAGTCATGGTGCCTCTCATGGAGCACATGGAACTCAGTCACATGGTCCACCACCCCCTAAAAAGCACAAAGCCTGCATTAGAGATGTTACTCTTGCAGATGCTGGGAAATTCGGTACCTTAAATGATTATGCTTTCTTTGACAATGTTAGAAAAGCTCTCCGAAGCCAAGAAGTTTACACCAATTTCCTTCGTTGCTTACAATTATTTAATGAAGAGGTTGTCTCAAAAACTGAGCTAGTTCAGCTTGTAACTCCATTTCTTGGGAAGTACCCCGAACTGTTCAGAAGATTCAAAGATTTCATTGGAGCCTGTGAAGGAAATGTCAATGCACCAGGTGTGCATGGTTTGGTTGGCGGGCTTGGAGGCAGCCTTGGTGGAAATTCTTTAGGGGTTGAAAGTATCCCCAACAATGTTGCACGGCAGGATAGACCGTCTGGAGAACATGCACTGGAAATTGGTAAATATTTCACACTTAACATGA